AGGTGGTACTGCGTAACAGTCTAGGGTTTAGGGTTTAGGGTTTGGGGTGTACGTACACTGTCTGTGGGCACTAAGGCCATCAAGCGCGGTATTTGCGTTTTAATAACATTTTCTAAACTCTCTAATTGCCGCATATCGAGGCGAGGGATTTTACTCCAATCAAACGAAGCCAGCTTCTCCTGGTGTACGTACACCTCAACATAATATAAACAAACTCTCAAAAAGAAACAACCAAAGCAAAGCCCTCGCACGCAACCCTAAACCCTAAACCCTAAACCCTAAACCCTAAACCCTATGCCCCAAGTAGAAAACACTAGATGCTACATTTCAAATTGTACAGAGAGCGTAGATCAAAAGGGTTTAGGGTTTAGGGTTTAGGGTTTAGGGTTTATGAGGGTACCTGCATCGTTGCAACGGGGGGGAAGTCTCCTATAGGGACCCCATATTCTTGAGAGACCTGCTGATACACCGCAGCAAGCTGACTAATAAGTTGTTTCTTTTTGCCTTCTTTGCCGAACATTGGTAGTTTGTTGCGGAGAGTGCTCAGCAATAAGGCGTGGACCTGAACAAACAAATGCAAAAAAAAATACAAATCAAACGCAGACACATAATAACAGCCCCAACATGTCCTCAGACTTCATTAACCCATAATGCATGCATGCATGCATGCGTGTATATATATAATATATATATAATATATATATGTATATGTCTGCATGTGTGCAGCAGAGACAGAAGCATAAGGAGACAGAACAGAGACAAGCAGAGAATGAACTGCAAAAGGAGACAAAACGGAGACACCTGCGAAAGGAGAGAGAAGCGACAAAATAGAGGCAAGAGACAGGCAGTGTAAAGAGAGACAGCCTCCTTATATTATATTATTTTATATTTATTTATTTTATATTATATAATACTATATTATATTATAATATTATATATTATATTTTTATTATATTACATTACGTTACATTATATTATACTATATAATATAATATTATATTATATTATACTAATATTATATTATATTATATTATATTATATTATATTATATCATATTATACTCCCCACCCACTGACCTTAGCCAGACGAGCCCTCTTAATGAAGTCATTTAACTTTCGAATGGCCGCGTCGCGAGGCACTCGTGCGATGTCCGAGTATAAATCGTTCGCCTGCAAAAGCCCCAAAACGCATGCATGCAAAATATGCATGCACAGACGCATGCATGCATGCATGCAGCAGGCGCACGCCAAACGAGCGTTTGTGGTGAGAGCATGCAGTGCATGCGGATGCAAACGATAGACAACTCCAAAAGACAAACGAAGGCTTCTGCTTTGGCCACAGTACCTCCAGTGATGCATGCAGCCCCAAAGTAACCTCTGCTCTGTCTGAGGTGTACACGAGGCAAAGGAGAGAACTGCTGCTGCTGATTGCAACAAGCTTTACCACAAGGGCTGAGGTGTATAGGCAGCTCATACAACCTTCTGAGATGTATTGACAGCTCAGACAAATACCGTTTCAGGTGTACAGGGAGCTCAGACAACCTTTTGAGATGTACAGGCAGATAAGAGAGCCTTCTCAGGTGTACAGGCAGCTCAGAGGGACTTCTGAAGTGTAAACGCAGCTAAGTGGGCATTCTGAGGTGTACATACACCTCGCGCTGTCTCACCTCGGCCTCGAAAAGTTTGCGGTTTTCGTCGTTTTGCAGCGGGTTATTCCAAAAAGAGCCAATATACACCCGAGCAACTTCAGGAGAAGATATTACCTGCATGCATGCAGCCCCTAAACCCTAAACCCTAAAGCCTAAAGCCTAAAGCTTTTAGTCGAGAACCAAGCTGAGGTGACACTGACGAGTTTAGTTCCACTCTAGCTGCGCTTCTCAAACCTAAACCCTAAACCCTAAACCCTAAACCCTATCTAGGTACCTTGCCAAGCGACCACATGAGGGCCCCGTAAACCCTCATGAGCTGCTGATAAGAAACCATGTCGGCCTTGTTGAGGACAATGCGAATTTTCGTGTCGTTCCCCCTCAAGGCCTGCGCCCAAACCCTAAACCCTAAACCCTAAACCATGAACCCTAAACCCTAAATTCGCGGTTTTCATTTTGTTTAGCTGCGCGTTGGTGTGCATAAATATA